GGAGCTGGGCCTCCAGGAAAAGACAATGCTGCTGATTTAAAGCACCATCCAAAGCAATCCAACCTCACCAGCCCAAATATCATTCTAATGAATCCATCCCCGGAAGAATACTACTTAATTAATTAGCAGCTCATTTGCATGAGGTGGCATGTTATTAAAGTTCTGCTGCTGCAAGTAGGGCTGTGACAAGGTGTGAGCTGACAGCTTTTCAAATAAAAAGTCTTTTCAAGGAATGATCTCCCGAACTGGCAGCTTTGTTCTGAACGAGCCTCTCGTGCAGTAATAAATTAAAGACATGGGGCTGCTGATTAGGCTCTGCATGGTGCCTCTGTACCATCTTCCCTGCCTCATCCTGCAGGAGCAGCTCTGCACGAGGGTGGAGGGAGCAGAAGGATGGGAGAAGGAAATAAAAGCCTGGGGAAGGGAAGAACCCCTCCAGTGGCAATTTCTCTGAAGGGTTTGTCCTGTCAGGATGTCTGAGCTGCTGACATCACCCCAGCCATTGGCTCCTTCCCCTCCAGAACCCTGATCTGAAGTGAAGGTGCGAGTGAGGTTTGTCATTAACTCTCTCACAGACACATTTATGATTTAAAGGAGAGGTGGGGTTAATATTTCACCTGGATTCCAAGGGGGACACTCCCCACACACAGCCCAGTCCCACTCCTGCTGTTCCTGACCGCAGGAGGGGCGTGCAGGGAAAGCTTCCTGGGGCTGGGCTTCTCCCATGGATGGGGACAGGGAGAGGGGTCCTGCTGGGGCCTGGCACACCTGAATTAGCAAATTCAGATCCCAAATGTGGGGTGGACTGGCTGAATGATCCTCAGAACTCCCCCAGTCCTCTGGGTTTAGTAATGACCTGGAATTGGGTCCAACCCAGATGTCAGCAGGGAGTCTGGGCTGTACTGTACTCCCAGAATTTCACAGAGGGCCTGAAGGGCTCTTGGAAACTTTTTGGGTCATAATTGGCAGTTCCAGGTCTGGATTCCCCCCTCCTGGAGGTTGCTGTGGGTGTCAGAGGAGGCAGGACTGGGAATATCACGCAGACCATTACAAAAATAGGCAAGTTAAGGCAGTGCCTGTTGCTCCTGGCCATGGAAATCCTCTCAGGAGCCTCTTCCAGTTCTTTCAAAGAGCTTTGGGACCCATCAGACACCTGCAGATGTGGGGAGAAGCTGCAGCTCTGGAGGAGTTAATGAGTGGCCTTGCTGTGGGATCCAGGGTGAGGAATCAGTGCCCTCATGCATGGACTTATTCAGCTCTTTTTTCTGGCATCAGGAATCCCATCATGAGTCAGGCTCCTGGAAACACCCCTGATGAAAACAGACAGGTAATTCAATCATGGAAAGTTCCTACAAGGAGGTTTGATGTCTTCTGCTGGGAGGGGATGGAAGGGAATGTGGAGATATCCCAGCACCAGCCCGGCTGGGCAGAACTCCTGAGGAGAACTTTCCTGCAGGAATGGTGGTGGGGCTCGGTGTCAGATTAGATCCTTGAGTGGCTCCTACACGGCACATCCCGGTGGCACAATGCGCTGTTTTGCTGATCTCTGGTGATGAAGCCCAGCTTAGCCCTGGGCTGCATTGTGGGGGTGTTAGAGCTCAGCTCCCTGCACCCAGCACACCCTGCTCCTCCACGAGGGGCTGCCGATGGCCCTGCGAGCCAGGGATGAGTTTGGATTTGCAGATTATGTCATTAGGTGCTTCTCAGGAGAGATTTGTAAACATCCAGCGGGAGGGAAGGGCTGGATCTGGCCCAGGCAGCTCCTGGGGTTGGTGTCCGAGTGTGGCAGGCTGTGGTGTGCCCTCCTGGGCTGGGCTGTCCCTCTGATCCCAATTTCCAGCTGGCTGAGGTGCCTCACACCTGTGCTCCACCCATCCTGACCCTGCTTCCCTCTGTGCTGCTCCCCTGGACGCTTCCCGTGCCCATCACCCTGTCAGGAGGGGAAACAGGCAGGGACAGCGAGGGGACAGAACCAAACGGGACCACTGGAGCCCAGCCCTGTCCCTCCTCTCCCCTCTCCCCCATCACCTGGATTTGGGATGAGCCCTGGATTTGGGAGGAGCCCTGGATTTGGGATGAGCCCTGGATTTGGGGTGAGCCCAGAGTTGCAGGGTTGGTCCCATGCCTCTGCTCCAGGGACAGCTCAGGAGTTGCCCCAGGAGGGCACCCATACGTGAGGCAGAGGAATTATTTCCCTCTCCAAACGTCAACAAGAGGCTTCCTGCTGGGTGAGATGATCCCTTTCTTCTTCCTCGTCCACGGGAATCATCGCTCTTCTCTGACATCATCATTCGTTGCCATGGAAACCGAGCCCTGAGCGGGAGCTGCAGCGGAGCATCCTGGTGTGTCCTGGGTGTCCCCAGCCCTGGGCTGTGGGCAGGGGGCTCGGGGCACCTGGGGGCTCCACAGCAGCCCGGGGAGGGGGCAGGGGCTCCGAGGTGCTGCTGTCCCCTTGTGCCAGAGTCCCTGAGCCCCCCAGGGCTGTCCCCTGGCCTTTGTGGGGACAGGAGGTGTTGGAGCAGCCAGCACCCCGTGCTGTGTCCCAGGATTCCCATTCCAAACTCCTCTGTGGGGACAGGAGGTGTTGGAGCAGCCCGCACCCCGTGCTGTGTCCCAGGATTCCCATTCCAAGCCCCGAGCCCCCGGCCGGGCTGGAGGAACCATCGGGCACTCGGCGCCTTCTCCAACCCAGAGCTGCAATTCCCAGTTGGAATTGGTCTGCACCAGCCTTGTCCAGTGGTATCTCTCTTTATTAGCCCTGTCTGACCTCATTACTAGAAAGAAGCTCAATTTAACGAGCTGCCGGTGCCCTGAGGGAACTCTGGAAAACAGTTGTTTTTCACAAAGGCTGCTGATCCTTCATGTCCGGCGCTTCCATTCCCGTCTGCCCATTAATCAGGCATGGTGGTGGCTGTGGATCCCTGGCAGCCCAGCGCTGCTGCCGTTTGTTCCTCAGGTGATTTTTGTCCCTTTGGTGGCTCCCAAAGCAGCGAGGGTGACTCGGGTGGCGGCACCCAGTAAGGCACTGGGCTCATACTGGTGTGAATCTGCCTCTAATTCCTGCCATTTCACTGTGGCCATTCTGATTCTCACAGGTGGAATTAAAGCAGGATTTGACCTTCTGCCTTTTGGGGAGATTTTGCTTTCTGAAGATTCTGTGTTCTTGAGGCAGGCTTGGGCTGGCAGCTGAATCCTGCCAGAGGCTCCTGTGCGTGGCTGTGGGTGTTCAACAGACCACTCACATTCCCACCTGATGTTCTTTTATAGCACTGAACGCTCGGGAGGGAAAGGGAAAAAGAGAGAAATCCAGAAAATGAATGCGTTTGTGTGTATCCAACACGTCTGTACATGGCAGGAGGCACCGGGGCTCTTTCCAAGGGCAGGATTTGTTCGGAGCATGGAGCAGGGGAGCGTCTCCGCTCTCGGGGTGTGAAGATCTCCTGGTATTTCCAGCTGGGGTGGCTCATTTCTCAGCTAAATCATAAGATGCTTAGCAACCTGCTCTCTTACCTCCTGGGGACATGAACCAGAAAAAAGAGCCAGCCCTTTCTGTGCTCCATCCTGCCTCTTCCGAAGGTTCAGGCTTCGGCTTTTCCTGCTTTCTGCTCCGTTACGCAGCCAGGTGGGGATTCACGGGGCAGGAAAAGGCTGGGGCAGCACAGCCCGGGGTGCGGCTGGAGCAGATGGCATCTCTGGGATAAGAGCTTTTCCCAGGGCCGCCTTCCCTCTCCTGGATGGGCACTAGGTGTGTCCTGGCACATTCCCGGCGCATTCCCGGCAATTCCAGGCGCATCCCAACAATTCCCGGTTTATCCCGACAATTCCCGGCGCATCCCGACAATTCCTGGCAATTCCCGGCAATTCCCAGCACATTCCCTGCACATTCCCGGCACATTCCCTGCACATTCCCGGCACATATCCGGTGCATCCCGACAATTCCCATTTTATCCCGACAATTCCTGGCAATTCCCGGCGCATTCCCGGCACAGTCCCGGCACATTCCCGGCGCATCCCTACAATTCCTGGCAATTCCCGGCAATTCCTGGCACGTTCCCGGCACATTCCCGGCACATTCCCGGCACATTCCCGGCAATTCCCGGCAATTCCCGGCTCATTCCCGGCTCCCTGGCCCAGCAGCGCTGTCACTGCGAGCCCTTGGCTCTCGCACACACGGCGTTGCCATCCAGCGGCTCTCCAAATACACAAATCCTGGTGGGAAAGACAATGTAAAGAGTTTGTTTATCCTCCCCCCTTCCCCTCGCACAGCCCCCGAGGCCATCAATTATTAACTTTCGGAAGAGAAGGCGTTTCCTCAGCAGCAGCGCTGCTGGCAGGGATGGCGATTGTCACGGGCTGGGCAGGATCTCCTGCCCTGGAGGGATGCAGGGATGCTCGGAGCCCGAACAGAACCCACCGTGTGCTGCTGTGTCAGAGCTCTGCTCGCCCTCAGAATGGCCTGGGCTGGCCTGGCCTCACTGAATCCTGCAGGCAGGAAGGTGGCAGCAGCATCTCCAGGCTTCCAGCAGGGATGATGCTCCAGGGGATTCCGCAGCAGGTGATGGAGATGGTCCAGGTGCCATTCTATAGGTGTCTAGAGACTTACAAAATACCTCTGCAGTGTCTTGGCTTTGCTGCTGGCTGTAGAGTTTTGTGGCCTCCTTTCAGGCTTATTTCAGAGAGAATCTTAAAAGTTTACAGTTTTCCTCCCCCCTGGATGGTCAATCATAGGTCAGTGGCAGTCTCTGTGCTCACCTTGCAACCACAAAACTCTCTCGTTATTTCTCCTGGATTAACAAAATCCCAGTGGCTCCAGTGGAGATGGAACCTCTGCTCCAGCTCCTGCTCCCACACTCTGCCTGCTGCCTCTGCTCTGCCTCCGCTTCAGAGCTGAGATTTTTCAATTCATTCCTTTTCCTACCTTGTCCTCCTCCTCCCCTCGCCCCAGCATCCCCCAAGATGGACCCAGTGAGGTCCCTCTGACGTGTGTTTGCTCCCTGCAGGTCCGGGCTGATGGTCCCCCCCAGGGCGGCATCCAGTACGAGGTGGTGCCGGTGTTCAAGGACGGGAGCCCGGTGCTGCGGGACATGGCCTTCTCCATCGACCACAAGTACCTGTACGTCATGTCAGAGCGCCAGGTGAGTCCTGCTCCCTCTCCTGAGTGTCTGCTCCCCTGCCTGCTGCCCCCAGCTGCCTCAGGAATGTGCTCTGGGGCACACGGAGCTCAGTGCTGGGGTGGGGATGAGAGGTTGGAGCTGGGGTTATTCTGCCCCTGGGCAGAGATTGGCATCAGTTCTCGGGGGAGAGCTGTAGCTGCTTGTTCCTGGCTGGAAGCGATGGGAACTGAGCTGCTCAGGGCTCGGAGCTGCAGGAATTCCAGGGCTGCTGCTCCTGCAGTGAGGCTGGCTGGCTGAGGAGCTGCAAGGGTTTGTTTGGGAGCATCCTTGAGCACAGAATCCCAGAATCCCTGAGGCTGGAAAACCCCTCCAGGATCATTAATTCCATCCTGTGCCCAATCCCCACCTCATCCCCCGCCCAGAGCACTGAGTGCCACATCCAGCATTCCCTGGATACCCCCAGGGATGGGCACCCCAAACCTCCCCGGGCAGCTCCAAGGCCTGACCGCCCTTTCTGGGAACAAATTCCTCCTGGAATGGCTGAATTGCTGGTGGCTTTATTTCTCTCTGCCTTCCTTTGTTGGTTTAGCTGTTTCCCAGCGTGTTTGGAGGGGTTGCCAGCGAGTGCTGCTGCAGCACAGAGGGGGGACCAAGCCCCATTAACCCTGGTTCTGCTCTGTGCCAGCTCTGCTCCTGCCCCGGGGTGGTGCCCACCCCAAAAAAGCACAACCCAAGTGATTATGCTGGGAATTGATGGCTGGCAGTCCACGGGGGGCTGCTGCTGGGGGAGCCAGAATGATGTCAATAATCTGTGGCCTTCTGTTCTTCTCTGAGGCACAGAGGGAGCCCCCAGCACTCAGATTTCTGGGCTCTCTGGCTCTGCTGAGCGATTTCCTGGCTGCTCCTCACCATTCAGGGTAGCAGGGCTGGTGTCTGGTGGGTGCTGGAGGCAGGGGAGGGGCTGCACTGGGGGTGTCTGGGTGCTGTTCAATTGCTCTGTGAACTCCCCGGTCCCTGACAGCTTTTTCCAGCTGCTCCGAGGTGCTGCGGGAGGTGTTGGTGTGGTCAGGGATGCTCTGATGGAGGTGGAGAGCAGCTGGGAGCTCCCAGCTCCTGCCAGAGTCAGCAGAACTGTCCTTCTGACCCCCAGGAAGAGAAGAAAAAACTGACAAATCCTTTCCTTGGTTATTTAAAAGCGGGGAAGAAATGTTTTAGATCAGGGCAAAGCCTTCTCCCTGCTAAAAGGCTCGAATGAGTGAATCCCCGAGGCTGAGGAAGGCATTTTGTGCTCGTTAGAGCCACTCAGGGATCGACACTTGCATGAGCAGCCCCAAATTTCAGATCCCATGGCAGCTTGGGCTGGGATTCGATGGCAATAACGAGGATCTGTGCAAATTTTACAATTGAATTATTTTATTCAAATGTCAATGCTTGGTCACTTTGTGCAGGAGCCACGTGCTGCCCGTGCCCCCACCAGGGAGGAAACGACCCAGTGTGGATCTCAAACAGTTGAGGAACTGTTTTCATTAGGAGCAAAATCCGGGGGGAATGCCTCTAACTCATCTTTTATGAGGCAAGAGCGTCTTAATATTCATCAAAGCGCTAATTTGCTTAATTGTGAAACAAAAAGATGTGAAGAGAATTAGCAAATAATAGAATATTCCTGGAACATTAATTCCATTTTCAGCCACGGCTCTGCCCTGGGGAGGCTGCAGGAGCTGGGGGCTGTTGCCTCTCATTCCTTGCAGGATTTGCCACAGGATTTGCCTTTTGCCCTGGCAGCAACGCGTGCTCTGGGTCCCAAAATCCCAGCATCCGATGCAGATGGATCTTGTCAGCTCCTGTGACCCCAGTGCCCCCATCCTGGCAATGTGATAGTTCAGCAAAGTGCAGCCAAGAATATATTTTCCCCCTGGTTGTCTATAAAGGAGGCTGATGATTGAAAAGGGTCAGCAGCAAGAGGAGGAGAGAGGTCCAGCAGCTCCAGAGGGCTGAGGCTGTACGTGGTGGGAGGTGCCCTCAGAAGGGCTGAGAATGTGCAGCAAAAAAATGTCCTCTGAAGGCTGGAACCTGAAAACAAACCGAAATTCTGCCACAGCAAAATGCCACAGAGAGCAGCTGCTCCCAGCAGGGATGTGCTGGTGGCAGGAGGATGGTCCAGAGCGGGGATCTGAATATCTGCAGAGCCAGAAACAGGCCAGTGCCCCTGCCAGAACACACTGGGCTGGGGTTTTGTGGAATTTACCTGAGGAAGGTGCTCCCAACAGAGCTGGGGGCATCTCCTGAGCTCCCCTGGGCCTGGGGAGCAGAGCTGTGGGGATGCTTCCCACAAAGGATGGAGCTCCTGGGCACGGAGCCCACCTCCCTTCTGTGCAGGAGCAGCTTTGTGCTGAAATGCAGGGAAAAGAGCCTCTCCCTGCTCAGATCTGGAGCTGTGCTTGTAGGCACAGCCCTTCCCCGCTCCCCTGGCTCCTGTCCCAGCCCTGTCTGTGCTTTGCTCCAGTTTTTTCCTCCCCCTTTTTTTGAGCTCTCCCTGAGCCTTTCATGTCTCGCTGCCAGCTCCTTCCAAAGCAGAATATTTGACATTTGATTTCACTCCCACAAAGCACAGAAGCAACAGTTGCACAGCCCGATCTGGGGGAGAGAGGAATAAAGAAACTTTGCTTCCAGGCACTCTCAGTTCTTGAACCGCTCGGTTCAAGGGTGGTTATTAGGAGCTCGCTCAGGTTCCCTTCCCACAGCACCTGGTTTCAAGCACTCAGAGGGGAGAAGAGAAGTGGTTCTGGCCCTGCTTGAAGCAGGAATTTATTTCTCCGTGTTGGTGGAGAAAACAAAGCCCATTTCTGCACAGAGGCTGAGCAAGGCTCGGGGAGAACAGGATGGAGATGGAGGTGATGGAGATGATGGAGATGATGGAGATGATGGAGATGATGGAGATGATGGAGATGATGGAGATGATGGAGATGGTTACTCTCCCCAAAATCCCAGTTTTTGGGTCCTATCCCCAAATTCACTGTGTGTTCTGTGGTGGGTCAGTGTTGGGGGGACCTCAGCCCAGTGCGAGCTGCCTCATTTCCCACAGACAAATTCAATTAACAGTTTCTACCAGGAAAAAACAACAAACAAAACCCACAAAAAGCCCGACAAAAAATAAAATATTGAAGCAGAATTGGTCACAATGCTCCTCTGCACAGCCCACCCTGGCAGGGCTGCTGGCCATTATGTAAGCAGCAGCAAAACTGGGGCCAAAGATTTTCGCAGCTCTCGACAGAAGAACGAGTTTGGCTATTTTTAAGCCAGGAGTGAGAGGAGCTCAATCAATCCCAGGGCAGGGATTGGCGGCTCCAAAAGATTTCACCGCCTAATCAAGGGCTGCAAACGTGGAATTTAAATCAGCAGGATCGAAACGCTCACAGGAAATACTTGCTGGAAGGGATATCTTTGTGGTGAGGAAAACATCCCAGGAGGGCCCTTCCCAGCTCCTGATCCCTCAGCTGTTCGTGCTCCTCAGCCCTGGGGGAGGTGTTGAGGGGAGAGGCAGCACCTTCCTCACCAGGCACCTGCCCAAAATTCACCTTCCATGAGCATCCTTCACGATTCCCACACCTCTCACGGCTCGGGAGCCCAGCCGGGGTCACTCCGTGGTTCATTCAGCCACGGGGGATGATTTCCCTCTGCATTTATGGGGAATGTAGCAGAGCAGCCTGCTGCTCTGGCTGGGAACCTCAGCATTGCCCAGGTACACCAAGACCCCGAAATCCCCCCGTGAACTCAACCCAGCAGAGCTGGGAGGGATCCTCTGCTGCCCCAGGGAGCGCTGGATGTGCCCATCACAGCAGAACCTCGGCTTTGCAGGGCACAGTTCTGTGTTCTTTGACAGAATCAGAGAACCACAGAATGCTTTGGGTTGGGAGGGACCTCAAAACTCATCTCATCCCACCCCAGGTGGCTCCAAGCCCCATCCAACCTTTGAGCTCTGCAGGGATGGGGCAGCCACAGCTCCTCCTTATTTATTCCTTTTTTTTGCTTTTCCACCGACTGAATTCCCCCCTCCCTCTCCACATCCATCACTGTGGCTTTAGGTAAGGAAATTGTCTTTTAGCCTGCTCTGGGAGCAGTGAAATATTTGTTTTGCAAGTGCCCCTGTGCCAGGAGCTCTCCCGGGATAATTTGTTGTGCATTCCCCTGTCCTGTTAACCCCGAGAGGTTTCAGTCCTGTGCAAACTGCTCTGGACTGAACTTTCTGGATGCTGAGTGAGGGGGAGGCAGACAGGAGCTGCCTGGATGATTTAGGAGAGGTTGGGACCAGAGTTAGGGCTGAGAAAAACAGGGAGCCCATCAGTCCTGGAGCAGCAGGGCTGTAAATACTGATGGTGTCCTGAAAAGAACTGAGAAAACATGATAAAAAATGCAAGAGATGTGGATAAAAGGGTCTGGAGTCATCAAGAGGGAAAAAATGAACTGATTAAATTTTTAACTACATTATCTGCTAGTTGAACAGCCAGTTAGCTGGACATAATCTCAGCAAACTTTCAACACTGGCACAAGGAAAAGGGCTCGGCTGGATCCCACCAGAGGTGTCCAAAACCTGCCTCCCATGGCTCCTGCAGCTGCTCCTCCTGTGCCCATGGGATGGGGACAGAGAGATCGGGATGGGGACAGAGAGATCGGGATGGGGACAGAGGGAGATTGGGATGGGGACAGAGAGATCGGGATGGGGACAGAGAGATCGGGATGGAGAAAGAGGGACAGAGGGATGGGGACAGAGAGAGATTGGGATGGGGACAGAGAGATCGGGATGGGGACAGAGAGAGATCGGGATGGGGACAGAGAGATCGGGATGGGGACAGCATCCCCTGGAGCAAGGGCTGGGCCCTGAGCTCTTTGCACAGCCCCTCTCCCAGGCACCTGCTCCTCCTCCACCCTCCCCAAATTCCTATCTCAACACATCCATTATTCCCTTCCCTCCCCGCGGCCAGTTAGGAATAATTAAGAGATCCCGTTAAAAACTTGTCGGAGCT